CGTGAAGATCTAAATATCCATTTGCAATCATTATGCAAATATTTTACCACGTACTCCTTCTTGTTCGATCTCAACACCTTATATTGAAACTTGTTTTGTATAGCATAGAAGGCTGAGGTCATTTTTAGTACGTCCTTGTTGCGAAAAATATTTCCCTCCACTAGTGCTCTAGCATCTGCTTCGGATACCAATGTCACATCTTCTTCAATATTTTCTTTGTCAACGGTCACCACTGAGTCACAAATTTCTTGAGCTATTTGTTCTAAAGAAAACACACTAGCTGATGACTCGACGGAAGTAATCTACGAATCAGGCATTACCATGAAACTGTAGTGGTAAAATCAACCATAATAAGATAACTCGATACAACTTCATCCAAAGATTTTAACCTCAAATATGTTAGGACATTATTATTGCTCAGAACCGAGCTGGAGGTAAACTAGAATCCAAAGAATATGTCATTATCATAGCTAAGTTTGCAACATTAAGCCACAATTCTGAAAAAACAAGTTCGACCAATTCATCATACTTGCATGTATCATTTACTAGTATAAGTGACGTGTGAGCTCTGTACAACATGCAAACGTGCAAAACTAACATTCTTAATCATGCACGGAAAATCCAATTCCTCTACAACCGAACTTCAATTTCTCTCGAAAAATGAAAATCAGAAGTATATCTATAGAATTGTGACCTCATTCATTGATCATGGTTTAAAATCGAGGATTAACGATGATTATACGTTTACCTTCGAAATCAGACCACATCGGTTCAGTTTTTGCTTTGGGAAAATTCGATTCCGCCACAGCCAGTTTCAACTTCTCCAAAACAGTAAAAATCAGAAGTATTTCGACGGGATTGTGACCTTATTTGTTGATTGTGGCTCGAAATCGAGGATAAACAGTGAATTTTTGTGATTTTGGAGATGTTTAACAAAATGGGTTTGGAGAGAGAAAGTGTCGTTTGGTTGTGAGAGGATTGTGAGAAAAATCTTTTAAATATAGTATAGTAAGATTTGTAGGAGTTAATTTGGTATATTATAT